AACTGGCCAAGAGCAGCTGATGGTTCGATGTCGATGTATCTCTCTTTGCTGTGGCTGTGGCTCTGTGGCTCTGTGGCTGATGCTTCTCTGCTGAGATGGATGGAGACGTCGTTTAAGATTAAGACGACTTCTTCTTAAAGCTGCGACGACGACGCTGACTACCACGAGGATCGTGTTGTTGTAGTGGTTGCATCGAGTGCGTGTTGCTGCTGCCACGGCTGCTGTGCTGTGTGCTGCTGGCGAGGTGAGTGATGATGATGAATGTGTTACAGCGAAGGTTAACGACTTTCAGCTTTATAAACAACAACCACAAGAGGCAGTTGCTGCTTCGAGCGCTGCAAACAGCTGATGTCGGAGCCGAGGCCTCTTGGCTCTCTCTTCTATTGTAACCCAAGAACGGGGCAGATTCTGGTACCTGGGACATATGTATATTTCCCCCACCCTCTGTGTCTGCTAATTAAGCCGCCAACAAGCTAATTATATGTGCCGTGTGGCACTCTAATTGCAATTTAAATAAATGTGGCAGGCGGTCGAACGGCTTTTGGCCAACCAGTTTGCCATTTGGCCAAAAAGGAGCGTTTTAAATTTCAATTTGTAGAAGTCAGCGCGTTGTCAATGCAGCTGAAAGATTCTGCGACAACACGGGACAACCCGACACCCTCCCTGACTCCCTGACTCTCTCTCTTTCTCTCTCTCTCTCTCCTCGCTCTCTGTGTGAGTGTGTGCATGTGCCATCTGCTCTTAACAACTAAATTACACTTGTCTGCATGTTTACAATTTACTCCACACACACAGATACACACACACCGCGCAGACAGCGACAGAATGTGACCAGCAAATGTTCGGGGCAATATCTAACCAAACCAGAGACAACTGCAGAGCCACAGCTAGAGCCAGAGTCAGAGCCACACTCGGCCGAAGTTAGTCACTTCTCGTATAGGCAGGCCAGTCAGTTTGTCTCTGGTTTGGGCCAAGATTGCAATGAGGTTAGCGGCGCAATCTGCTCAAATATAGATGGCTAGTTAGATGGACAAACGGACGGGCAGACAGGCAGCCAGGCACTCACCCAGGCAGTCAGGCAGTGAGGCAGCCAACTATTCAACAGCAACAGCAACATGTGTTGCCATGTAGCAACATCAACTGCAACTGCAACAACCGGGTGCCTGCAGTGCCCGCAGTGCCTGCTGGCCCGATCCATGGCTATTCTAATTGCGCACAAGCTTAGCAGCTTTTAGTTACTTTGTAGACTTTTAGTTGCCATCAAACGCTGCTCTGGGGGCGCTCTCTTGGCCAGTTAACGATTTTAGCATACATCCAGCGGATACGTGAGAGCCCAGCTGGCCCGGCCTGTTAATTTATGCAATGGCCTAAACTTGAACCGAATGCTGAACGTTGAACGTTGAACGCTGAACGGCTGAACGTTGAATGCTGAACGCTGTCTCCGTGTGTGTGGTGGCAATAAATTGCCGGCCAAGTGTTGCCAAATAAATGTTCTATTGATTTCTGCAACACCTTGTCTTCGACAAAAAGGCTAACTGACTAACTGTTCTGTCAAAATGTTAGCCGGCCTGTGACTGTGCCTGGCCTGGCCTGCTCTGCTGCCCACATGGGCAGTCGACAGTAGCGGAACGGCAACGGCAACGGCAGCGGCAGCGACAACTAGCGAGAGGCACACACAAAAGCCATATCTGAGAGAGCACATTGCATGTGGCATGAAATTCAGTTGAAATAATGACACACCCGTTTCAATTCATAGTCTTGTACGGATACGGGCACGGGTACGGGTACGGGTGTATGTATGCGTGTATGGGAGATACAAAAATACAAACGCCGAAGCAGACGCAGATACAGACGCAGATACACATCTCTCCAGCTCATAGATTGTTTTTTTTTTCACTTGAAAATGAAATGAAAATTACCGAACTGTAACCATATGTGGCAGCGGTCCGCGTCCGCTGCTTCATGCTGCTTTATGTCTCTACGCTACCCTACCCTACTTCGGCGGGCTGCCTCAGCTATGGGCAGAACTTTGAGCCACTGCCATTAAATCCAAATTTAATTATGCACATAAAAAAACCGCAGAGACAACCAATTAGTTTCTGCAAATAAGTGGATCTCAATTGTTTGCACATTAAATTGATTGCCTGCCCCGCGAGATTTAAGGGTTTTTCTTTTGCCAATTTTTAATGGTTATTTAATACCTTTTTTGTGTGTGTCGAGAATTTCCATTATGCTTAAGCTTAGGCCCACAGAGACCTCCCACAATTTTGTGTGTGTGTGTGTGTGTGGCAAAAGGTTAATTACAATTTATTGCCTGCTTTTTGAAAAGCCATAAAATGTTGTCATTCCGTTCCGTTCCGCTCACTTGCTCCCCATTTGCCATTGGCTTTGGCTCTGTCTATGGGTGATGATCTGGGGCTCTCTCTCCTCTCTCTCTCTCTCTCTCTCTCGTGTCTTTTGTCCTATGATCGCACAATTTTGATTAGGCAACGTCAACAATTTAATTGCACATTTGCATTAGAGTGGAAAGTCGAACGACTGTCATCGGTGAATGGAATGGCAGCTCCTGGCTAGAGGTACAGGCACCGGCACAGGCCACGTTTGATTTCTTAATTGTCGCTAAATGCGGGACCGGGACTCACCGACAAAACATTGTCTTTTCGGCCTGACAACGTTGTTGTTTCTGTTTCTGTTTCTGGGTGTTTGTGTTTGTTTCTGTTTCGGTTTCGGTTGTTGTTTCTGTTTGTTTCAACCATTGTTGCTGCTGCCTAACTGCCTGACTGCCTGCCTGCTGCCTGCCTGACTGCTGCCTGCTTTCTATGGCTGTTGTCTGTTGTCTGGAGCCGCATTATCGTCGATCATTTTGTTTGCAATGAGTTTTTGTGGTTGCCGGAGCACACGAAATGAATGTTGCGCGGTACGACTACACACAGCTGTAAAGGAATTGTCGAACGACGATCATGGTGGTAATTTCCAAACGGGAACCCTATGCGATATTGTCAGCCTGCTCCCTGCTGGTAGAGGGGTCACATTTTAATTGCTTCAATTTCAATTTATTTTTATATCCACTCTCTGGGCTCTCTCTCTCTCTCGCCGTGGGATGTGGGACCCTCTCCTTGAGCGTGCCACTTGAAACTTGGTTCCATTTCTGAGCTGCTGACAGCCCTGTGGCCCGGCAGATACCTGCATATATTACCCAATAAGTGTTTGCCAGGGATGGCAGCATCGGATATGTGTCTGCTGATAGATGACTGGAGCAGACACACCCACATCCGGGCCGAGGAAGAGCACTCGTTGGCTGGGTTAACCCTGCTCAATCCGCAGCACGTCTACAAGCAAGCTCCAGTTGGCACCCACTTCGAATGGCGTTTCCCATTTCATATTCCCATGGGCGCACACTTTCACTACTTAAAACACTAAAATAACTTATATTTAGTAATTTCAGCTGCGCTTAATTTACATTTAAATATAATTTTCAACGAATCGAGCCGAGCCGAGCGACAGTTTCTAATCTCTTTGGCTGCCGCTTCGAAACGCAGTATTCAATGGATTTTTGAGTATTTTTCCCTCCGCTTTTTTAATCGCTAAACTGTCTCATAAACCCAACATTTTATTTGACAAGCGCGCGTTTGGCATACGAAAGTAGCAGACAGTCAGACAGTCAGGCAGGCCAGTCAGGCAGGCAGCAGCAATCGAATTTCTTTTTAATAGAAAACGCATCGCGTATACGCAACTTCAATAGAAGTCAACAGTCAGTCACTCGCGTGGCACATTAGTGGCACATTATGAGCATTTTTCCCAATCCAATAACTCAAAATTATGTTGTGCTTTGGCTGACAGCTATGGTCTCTGGCATTATTAATTCAATTTTGATTTTGATTATCGGCAACAACAGCAGCAGCAGCTAAGCCGAAAATCCAATAGCAATCCAATTCGGTTAGTCTTTCAGATGGTAATACCCATTTTGGGTGAGCTAATCTTTGTGATTTGTGATTTGACTGTTGTTTCTTCTTATTTATGTTTGTAATTATTATAATTTTTATGCAAACTACGACATACTTTTTACGTAAGCTTGGAAATTGTAGTTGGAGTTGGAGGCTAGTGTTCAGCTCAAGGAAGAAGTGGACTTGGACCTTAAATTTAATTAAACTTCAAACAGGAAGCAGGCCACAAAATTATACATTTATTGTAGAGTGGGTCTTGGCTTAGCGGTGCCCTCCCCTCTACGAGTTTGAGCCAATTTGGGCCGCCGCGGCGGGTATGGACTTGGAGCCATAACTCATGTGGCGGCGCAAATAATTTGATATCAAAGAGTGTCTGGGGTCTGTAGATCGCATAAATTACGGGCTATGAATGCATGCAGCCTCCATTGGCGGATTGGAGGAAACGAAAGGAAAGGATGGGAAAGGTGTTAGAACCTTTTAGTTTTGTGGGTTGTTTTCGTGTTAAGAATTTATGGCTGTTTAAACAGACAGATAAAGTTGGGGTGTCATTAGTGATTTATGGTGGGATTGGGCCAGTGATTGGGTTTCGTTTCTCTCTCTCTCTCTCTCTCTGCGTCTCTCTAAGCCCCAAAGATCAGCTTTGGCTTGACATTGAATGGAAAAAGCCAATCCAAAGCCAAAGCCGTAGCCGTACCGCTGGAAATGGGTTGTCTGTGTCTGTGTGTGCCTCTGGGGGACCGGCGTGTGAATTCTGTTTTCGTTGCAACTTTCAAAGTAAGAAGAGACGCCGCAAATTAAGTCAAGGTTGCTGCTACTCATGAACTGAGTGCTGGGGGTACGAGACGGGTATTGGATTACGCTATGGGGAAGTGCACAGCGAGTGTCCGTCCGTGAATGTGGGTGAATGGAATGCCATATAGGGTTTCAAGGCAGCAGCCCCGGCAGCCCCCCACTATCGGGAGGAAATGCCAATGCAGCTGATAACAAAACTTTCCATAGAAAGAGCAGCCCATCGGTGAACATATGGAATTCCATGAATGAATATCAGTAATCGCCTAGCAGCAATCGTTACTTTTATTAGCGATAAGATAGCAAACTTTCATCGAAAACAATACACAGTTCCATTATGGTCTCCCCATTCTGTAGGTGGCACCGCCCACATAGAAATCCCTTTCGGTTTGCTTCAGCTCAAAATCTTTGCTCACACAGGAGGGGGCACTTCTCGGGCATGTGTCTGCCACTCCGTGCTCTGCATTGTACCTCAATTTCCTCGTCCAGGCCGTGGCAATCTCAATTGCCTGCTCATATGATCTCATTTCAAAGAGCAGTTCAGCTGTGGAGGTCTGTGTGGCTCTAATTATCTCGTAATTAAGATGATTAAGCTGCAATTTATCTAGCAAATTACGAACACTCTTGACAGGGTCCTTGTAATAAGGCTGGACGCCACTCGCCTTCCTGTACAGCAAACGGGGACTCAGCTGTTCTCTCATATTGGCTGGCAAATCAGCAAATTCAGCTGCAAAGAAAGCGGGGAATTATTATTTTTTTTTTTTTTTCAAATAGTAACTTGGACCAAAAACTTACACTGTGTGGCGGCAGCAATGCTGGCTTGCAGCAAAAGTGGCAAAAGTGTAGCCAGTGCCTGAATTAAAAGCATCTTGTGGATGGTGAAGCTTCTCAAGTGACAGAAGGTTGGAACGCTACTAAAGCGGCGACAAAGCTGCTCATTCCCGAGCTCGGAGCTTTCCTTATCAGCGCTGCTGTCGACCCTACTGACCCGTCATTCAATCTGTTAATGATTGCACAGCCATTTTTGGAACAGATTCTCAGAAGACAAAGCTCATTTGCCATGGCAGACATTTGATATAAGAAAACTCACACTAGTGGCAAAGGGAATGGGAATTAGATGCTATTGGTAAGGCGAATTTAAGTCAGGAATATGGAATATCTATGGAATGCCTTTAATACAGGCAGGAAAGGAAGGCCTCTACCCTGTGACGGCTGACTGACTGCTGCTCATTGAAAAATATATATGAATATTTTTGTTCGTTTCATTTGAAGCTTTCTGTTTTGTTAGTGCACTTTTTTTAAGGCAACTCGTTAATGTTAACAACAGCGAAAACAACACCACCAACAACTGCTTGCAGTGGACTTGCCGAAAAAAAAAAAACAAACTAGTAAAAAAAAATTGGAAAATAATTTTTTATTTTTGCCCATTTCAAGATGCCGCTTGTGTTGTTGTTGTTGCTGTTGTTGTTGCTGTTGTTTTTGCTGTTTCTGTTGTTTAAACAAACTTAGAAGTTTCCAGCTGTGCGCGTTGATTGCCATACGACACGATGCGTTTTCAAATACAGCAACAACAACAACGAGCAACGAAAAATAAAAACGGGGCCCAATGTGAGTGAAAAGCCGCCGAGATTGCGCATTCGCCGTGTATGCACTCGGGGGCACGCTGTTGTTGTTGTTTTTTGTTTTGTTTTTGTTTTTTCCTTTTCGAACAAAAATAGCAAATGTTGTAAACATTTTTCGAGGTACGCAACGCAATCACTGACCGACCCATCGAGCCGTACATAAAACACATTGAAATTACAATTCATTTTTTTTTTTTTTGTTGTTGTTGTTGCTGTTGTTATTGCTGTTTCATTACAGATTCCAGGCATTTTTCCACGGTTTAAGGTGAATTTCATAGTCTATGTATTTCATGAATTTCTCCATGTGCAAGGCAATGCGTGGCCTGCCTTGGGCGCGCACGTCAATCATACGCAGTGCTGTACAGCAAACTCTACTCCCAAAGTGAGTTGGCATATATGTAGGTACATATTCCGCTGATGAGTATGAATGAAAAGTGTAATTGATAATGGATACATGCTGTGAAATAAAACCGTAAATCTGCTGGATATATGTTGCTTCAGTTCCCCCAATTCGATCCTCTCCTTCCGGTTTGCAATGATTTCTTCTCTGCCAATGGCCATTAAATGTTCATTGGCTTCGATTCGAAGTGAAGATTACTGTTTACTGCTTACTGCCTCTGAACCTTGAACCTTGAAGAGGCAATCATTCACACCACGCGACAAATGAGCCGAGATTGATAAGCCAGCAGGCAGCAGCCAGCAGCCAGCTAGCAGTCATATCTATCTCCAATGCGAGCTTATCTCCCGCTCGTCCGGCGCTCTCTCTCGCCGTTTCAGTTGCCACTTTAATTAGCCATTTTTATCTGGCTTGTGCCTTTGCCTCCGCCTGCCTGTATTGCTGTCAATTTGGCTAAAAATAAATGATTACTGCTTCTAGTATACGTATGTATATACTCGCACAATATGATATCATGCCGCTTCGTTTTTGCCAATTAAAAACGAAAACTTGAAAGTGACTGAATCTTACTACGACTGGGCACTGGCACCAGAGACTGGGACTGCGACTGGGACTGAGACTGGGACTGAGACAGCTTTTTCGTAAGTTATGACTGGCGATAATCACACAACGTGGCAGCAGCAACACCAGCGTTGTTGTTTTTTTTTTTGCCAGAACTGTTTTTTGCCCAGCCTCAGAGGTTTGGTCTAGTAATTAGCTGCTGGAGCGGGGTGGCAGGCGGAGACGTTGCGTCGTCGCATGCGTAGCTCAAATTTCAAAAAAACTACTCGTACATGCACTTTGCACAGATACAAAGGCCGTCCGGTCCGGTCGTCTCCGCCTCACTGGGTGTGAAAAGATTTATGTGCTAGGCCGGCACACATCTCTGCGATTGCTGAGCAGCCGCAGTGGCAGCACCAGCGGCAGCGGTGGTTATCAATGCGTTGGCCCACAGCAGCCCCAGCCCCAGCCCGAGCTCCAGCAGCAGCAGCAGCAGCAGCCATTCACCCGAACGAACGATTCCAGTTTTCCAGTTGTTGCTGTATGAGAGAGAGAGAGACTGTGGCATCTTGAGACATTTCATTGTGCGCCTGCCTGGGCCTTTATTTATGGTCTGCTCAGCTTTTTATAACTCTTCGATTTATATTGATTTGTAATGCACATAAAAAGATCCACAGGCAGAGATTTTATATATTTTATATGCCATGCAGTTGACCTTGTCTGTGGCCAGGATCGGCAAAGAGATCGTTTGCTTGGATGCTCCGATATGCTGCCACGTAAATTATCATAGTTACAAAATGCGCTGAAGGTCGCACTACTACAGGCCCACAGCGAGGGGGCAGGTGGTGAGAGAAAACTGCTCTCAGCTCCCATCTGGCGGCGCTGTGGAACAAGTGTCCGCCGCATGTCAACGGCAACTCCCATTGTCCGTCCGGGGCTGCCAGGTGACATAACGCGTTGTCGTTGTGCCCAGGTAAGCAGATTTTTCGCTCGTTGTTCCCACCTACATCTGGGTCTGGTTTGCCATGGATATGGATATGGATATGCTGCATGCCAAAAAGAAAAACAAAAACAAAACCAAAAAAAAAAAAACAAAACACTTGTGCATGCAAATATTTTACGAATTTGCTGGCAGAATTTGTTAGAAAACTGCAACAGCAGACAGCAGATAAAAGGAAAACAAGAAAAACATGCTGACAAAAAAAAAAGGCTATATACTCGTACTCGTACTCGTACGATATGGCCAACAAAAGACCTGCGCACATGACAATGTGTAAATTTATGGCAGTCGTGTGGCTCAGTGGCTCTGTGGCTATGTGGCACTGGCTCTGTCGCTGGCCTGTGCCTGCAGTTGCTGTGCACTCGAATTGCATAAGCCAGAGAGCTCCAGCAAGCGTTTTATGCACCATTGCAAATAACAAACAAAATATTTGTATTTGTTTTATTAATTAAGCCTGGGCTGGGTTTGGTTTTGGGGTTTGGGTTTGGGGCTGGGGCTGGGGGCTGCAGCAATATTTGTCGATCCGATGAATAGTATTTCCAATAATATTTGGCAATGCATTTGCAATCGACAATTGATGCCCCAAGTCAAATGTCAATAACCGAACACGAGATATGTACATTGGATCTCTTTCAGGGTATGATCCATCCATCAGTCATTCATTCAGATTAAGGCGGAAGTCAATCCCCCCCGACTGTTTGTTGCTTTCGGGGTACATACGAGTAGATCAAAGTTGTAAGCTCTGCATCATTGAATGATATCTTCTGTGGAAATAACACAGATAAAAGACACACAAAATACTGACGATATCTTCTTTAGAATTGAGACACAGAAGCACACACACACAGCACACCAACACACCTGAAAGCAGATCAGATTTTGTTTCTCAATCAAATGAAATTCCAATTAAAATTCCTGCACGTCTGCATTTGGGGGGCGTGGAAGCGTGGAGGCGTGTGTCTGTGTGTCTTTGTGTGTGGGGGGGATCAGCATGTTTGTCTTAGAAATGGGGCACAGTTAGTTAATAGCATTTCGGGGCAGGTCTTACATCCATACATATACGAGTATGTATATGTATATGCCATGACCAAGCACTTTGCGGCGGTTTTCCATTGAAAAATCAAGGCAAAATCCCGCCGTTGCCTGATTAAAGAGGCTTTCACCGCATATGGGTCAGCATCGTCACCTTTCGCCAGACCCAGACCCAGATGTGGATGTGGATGTGGTATGGGGATATATCCCCATATTCCCACTCCATTTTGTTCTACTCTAATGAAGGTCTTAACTTAACTTGTGTGTAGGTGTTTGACCCCCAACTCGCAAACGATTTGGCTGTTTATTTATGTAAATTTTGGTCGGCTTTTCGGCCACAAAAATTCTACCACAATTAGTTGGCTTCGTCTTTGGGGGCTTTTTCTTTGCTATCCCCCTACTCCACTCTTCGCTTGGCTTGGCTACGCTGGCTCAATCAATTTAAATACATTAATCAATTTCCATGCCAAGTTTTGTGTGTTTTTCTTTGAACATTTTTCTTTCTTTTCGTGTTGGCTGTGCCGATCGTAGCGCAAAAAAAAAAGAAGAGAGACGAACAACAATTTAATTATAACAACAAACAGCGACAAAAAACACATCGGATCGGGTATATCTGAAATTGATATCGTGACTTTGTGTAATTTGTAATTTACGATGAGATCACTTCCTCCAACAATGTATCAAGTCAGACCCGATCGACCCGCTCTGTGCTCTCATCTATCTATCGTCTATCGTCCATTGTCCATCGTTGGTCGCATTTTCTTTGTGTCCCCCCAGCTGAAGCTGCAGAGCTGCTGTAGTGCTGTTCTGCCTCCTCCTCATTCTCTATGCATCAGTTTTTGGCTTGTGCCCCTCAACACTGATGCCGCCACAGATGTCTGAGTGAATGGCAGGCTGGCAGCATCCTGGCTGCAGCGTCCAGAAGTCAAATTTGCATTCTCAGCACAAAAGCCATTGGCATTGGCAATGGCAGAGGCTCAGGCTCAGCTCAAGCTAGGAATAAATTAGATTTGGCATTCAGAGTCAAAGCCAGAAAGCTAGCCAGCACTCAAATGAATTCTCAATTCAAAGCAAAACAAAAACAAAAGGCACACGGAAATGTAAATCAAAGCCCAGAGACAGAGAGACAGAGACAGAGCCAAAGCCAAAGCCATACCAATCGAATTGACAATCAAACAAATTATGTTAGCTGGAAAAGCTTCCAATCACGGACAGAGGTTTATGTCAGCCTGCCGCGGATGTCATTATCCAGCGACGTCGTTGGCAGCGCTCTCTTTTACGATCGTAGCAAAACACTGATCTAATGATCTAATGCCTGACCCATTTCCGCTGCCATCCG